TTCCTCTTCATATGATATATGGCGTAGGTTTTCTCAAAGACGAGTGAATCTTCTTAGTCCTGGTGTTCTGCTTAGAGCTTATCAATCTTGGCTTGGAGCTTCTCATTTTCAGCGTTTATTGTGCTGATTTTGTAATCAAGCTCAACATTGGTGGTTGAGTGAAGTCGATTTTGCTCCATGACGCTTTTGAGTCTTTCTTCCATTTTTGCTCTCCTCGGTAGCATTGGCCTCCTTAATTTTGGTGCGTAAGCTATCCTCCAAGTTAGTAACTTGTTCCATAAAGGCAGACTCACGCTCGGCAGTAGAAGTCACAGTATCATGAAGCTCAACCCACTTAGCCTTCACCTTTCCTTAAGGCTTTCAGGTAGTCGGGCGGCTTCTTGGCCATGAGCCATCCTATCTTGTTCATAATGCTACAGTCGGGCCTCAAGCTTATCCATTTAAGAGATTTTTTCCTCTAGTACCGGGAGGCGCTCGACAAGTTTGTTCCGTTCAGCCAATAGACGATCTCATTCAGAAATAAGCTCTTGCTTGTCCAAAATCAGCTTTTGCAGGCCCTCGGAAGCAAGAAGGTTGGCCTGCAAAAAGGTCAGTAATAGGGTTGCCCATGTGAAGTATAAATTAAAAGAAGATAGAAGGAAGTCGGATCACTACCTGTGCCGAACAATGCATGTTATTGTTGATAAGACACTCCATAGAGAGAGAGTCCATCTTTCTTCAATCCTTAGCTGAGGCCAGCGGCTTCAGGTAATTGTCAAGCTCCACCAGCTTGGAAGGAATATGACACTCCTTTGAAACCGAGAGAATGGCACTCTACTTTCCACCAGGGTCTTGGGAGGGTGTCGAGTAAGTACTTCCCAAGTTACCATGGTCGGGAGACCGCGGCGAAGAGGCATTCCCTACTTGTTCGGTTGGTGCCGGTGGAGGAGAAGCAACTGATACTGGTGGAGAAGGAGTAGCTGGTACGGATGGAGAAGAAATAACTGGTGTAGAAAGAGTGGAAGTTGTGGCGGCTCAGTAGTTGGTGATAGAGGAAGGTCCGGGGCTGAACTCCTCTAATCGGAGACGTCGATAGGGATCGAAAAGCGAGAATCGATATTTTCAACCAAACTCATTTCCCCTAGAGTACCAGAACTTCTTCTGTCGGTGGATTTTGAACCTCTCCCGGGTAAGCATCTGATTGAGCTAATAAAGACCTTTTTCTTATTTGAAGAGGGGCATCTTAATCATTAGACCCTTCTTTATCATCAATGACCATTGTGACCAGTCCGGTTGATGATATTCTCACCCTCTTCTCCTGAGTCCCACTCAAGGAGGTACGCTTCCTCTTCGATTTCTTATTTATGGATTGGAGACTCCGGGAGGAAGAGCCCTCACCGAAGACACGAGTAGATCCTCGATCCGCACTCTAGCTAAGGGCACTCTGCAATACTCGTTCGGCCTCCTCGTGGTCGTCGAGAACCTTGTCTTTGGGGTACACGACGGAACCCTTTGGAAGTCCTGTGTGGAACAAAAGGACAATTAACAAATTGTTCCTAAGATGTTAAAATTAAATGAAAGAAGAATGTTTGCTTACCGTGTTTCTTAGATTTCCACCCTTACTTAAGAGCCATCTCTTTCCATCGTCAGGATTCTGGTGTAGTATTATCCATAATTTTCTATACCCATCGGTCCAAGCCTTGAACCTATGGTGGTTCCCGTTGAGCACCCTAAACGAAGGAAATAAAAAGTTAGTAAAAAAGGCAAATTTTTTTTTCACGAAGAAAGGAGACAAATACCCGAAGACTTACGAAAAAGGTTCCACGATTCAGGAAAAGCTAGCACTGTGACCGGGATGATATCCCAGGTAGCAATGACAACGAACCGTTCCATCCATCCATGGTTGTTGTCATTATCAACGCTGGTAAGGATGGCGTGATGACCATGCTTGCTAAGATTTAGCACACCCCCACGAAAAATCTTCAGGGAGTAGAGGTTCAACATATGCACGAGAGAGGGTTTCCCCGGTTTCAGCGCATAATTGGCGGAGGCAGGCCATCATATGCCATATGGATGAGCCTACCTGCGCTAAGCAAACTTGGTACCTGTGGCAAAATTCTAGAATTATCGGGTCAATTCCTTCACGCGCTTCCAAGGTGAAGGGACCCAAAGCTAAGAGGTACGTGTAAACATACATGAACCGGACTTGGAGTAGGTAACCTACTCTATCACATCGGGGGTGAAAATTTCGACGTTATCCCGAAGATAGAGCAACCGATAACAAATATTCAAAATATTTTCATCGGATAACATTCAATCGGAAGCCGTTATAGAGAAAATCTGCATTTATAGCCAACTGTTATGCACCCATCAGTGACGATTATATTTTCATTCAAGAGAGGCTTAATTTGAGGATCTTCTCTCCCTATATTATGCTCATTTTCCAGCACTTGAACATTGCTTTTACTTTTGTCATCGGAAAGGCTAAATTCTTAGTCAGGCTTGTTATCTTTTTTAAGATCATTTGATAATCTTTTTTTTTCTCATTTACTTATTATTTTTAGGTTAAATCAATTCGCTTTTTTATAAATCACGCTATAAATTTAACTGTATCGTTTTACGGGTAAATAGTGGGTAGCATAGGTAGAGGGAGAAAGAAGGAGAAACACGAGGATAAAGGACAAACGATATACTTTTCCCTTTTCTCTCCTTTTAAGACTCAATTGAAGTATATGTTGCTTTCTATGTTTTTGCTGAATCAGATATTCTCTCACTCCCTTAAGAATCAAAGAAGAAAAAGAGAAAGAAATACCTTGGAAGCAGAAAATATATAAAGTTTGATATGAAATGGGAAATGAAGAAAAGAAGGGCAACAACCTATTAGGCAAATATTCCCCTCGAACAACGCCCGGTCTATGTTTCCCGATATGGAGTGACAACTGCATGTAAAAGCATAAAAACTCCATTAATATAAAAACTGATTTGACTTATATACATTAATAATGTAAAGATCATAAATACTAGTAGTGCAATTTATTGTGTTGTAACAGCTTATTTGCCTTGATTTTTAGGGATATTAACTGGTGTGCACTGCCAGCGTGGAATTATTTTACAACATCAGGTTAAGTTACCTATAATATATGATTTCTCATAGCAAGTCTTAATATGGTAACCTGAAAAATAGAGTAAATAATTTGATATGACATATTAAAATATAATATAGGATAATCTATGCGGTATGCCCATTGAAAACATCAGTTAACACTATATACAATTAAAATATTTATTTTACTCTGTATACCTACTTTATAAAATTATTTTACCATGTATACCTACTGTATTCTAAAATATAATAATGTATATTCCAAATTAGAATATTGTGATATATTTAATTTGAATATTGTATTCCAAATTAGAATACTGTAGCATGTTTAGTTTGAATATTGTATTCCAAATTAAAAATTATTGTATATTTTCATTGGATACTATATTCCAAATTAAAACATTGTAGTATATTTGGTTTGGATACTGTATTCCAAATTAGAATACTGCAGTATGTTTTGTTAGAATATTATGTTATGTTTAGTTTAGATATTGTATTCTTCATTAAAATGTTATGGTAAGCTAGGTTTAGATTTTTCAAATTAGAATATTATGGTATCTTTAGTTTAAATAATATATTCCAAATTAAAACATTATGGTCTGCTTAGTTAGAATATTGTATTCCAAATTAGAATATATGGTAAGTTAGGTTTGGATTGTATTCCAAAGTAGAATATCGTGATATGTTTTAGAATATATGGAGGTATAGCGTGTAATATTTTTGAGATATTTGATGTAATTTCAAAACTTAGGTATATCATGAAAGTAGTTTTACAAATGGGTATATCATGTAACTTGGTGTAAAAAAAAATTTACACTGTCAGAATATATAAGTTAAATCCTTTTCCAAGTTACTAATTCGATTTTTATTGGACAAATACCTATACTTATCTTTTTAAGTGACTGATAATGTAAAAGTCCTTTTGTGAGATAAGTTAAACTCTATAAAAACTAAGTGGAGCTGCCACATCTTGATGCACAAGTAACTGCAAAAGGATCAAATAAAGCTCTTCTTTACATGTTTCTAGCCACTACCTACTCTACTTTCTCTAAATTATGGGTCTTCAAAATGTAGAAAGTAAAGATATGAGGTTGGTTTTGTCAAGAGATGCCAAACCTAGGCTGAAATGGACACCACAACTCCACCAACTATTCGTCGATGCAGTCACTCAGCTTGGAGGTGCAGACAGTGAGTATAATTACAAGTCTACTTTCTTTCCTTCTTGCAATCAAAATCATATATAATAGTATTAGTTATTGATGATTATACAGAGGCCACACCAAAATCTTTGAAGAGTGTAATGAACATTCATGGGCTTACTTTGTATCACCTCAAGAGCCATTTGCATGTATTTTTTTTGTTGTTGAGAAATGTGTATTTTTAAGCGCTCCCAAAAATAATACGTAGTAGCCAATTGTATATATATACTTTTTGTATATGTATGTATTATATACATATAATATACATTTTTTATATACCTGTTGACTAGTAAATGCAATTAGTTTCGAGCGACCAGTCAATTTTATATTTAACCTTATTTTTTTCCTTGTCACTTTCGAGTTGATCATAAAATCTTTTGCACATTTCACTTGAAAAAGCTTCTGATAAATTTAATCTTCTATATAGAAATATCGACTGGCGAAAAGTCAACTAGCACAATCCGACCACGAAAACAGACAAGAGAACAACTTGGAGTCTGCAATAGAACATAACAGACGAAAGGAAGATGAAAATTCAAGGGATTACTTTGGTGCAGAACTTAAAGAAAAGCAGAGTAGGGATATTCGTGATGCAGCACAAATTCAGATGAATGAGTAATATAGTTTTCCATTGTATTTAATATACTTGTATATAAACTAAAGCAATAACAGCATTTCACTAATAATTACTGATATTTATGCTTTGTCATAAGATTGCAAATAGCTCGCGCTTTAAAAGTGCAAATGGAGGTGCAGAGGAAACTTCATGAACAAATTGAGGTAAATATATAGAGTTTAACCTGTAAGTAATAGGTCATTTACCATGTCTACAGTTTACCAATCATGAGGTTGCTATAAAAGTTACGTGTAAATAGGCTGTCAAATTTGACCCAAGCTCAAATGACTCGCCCAACCCTTCTAAGGTTAGGCTGGTTATTAATTAGCCTATTATTAAACTCAGACCATCTTGACTCAACCCATCTAAAGTTGTGCTGATTTTTAGTCCAAATTAATCCATGAGTAACTTTGCCAAAGTATCTTAGAACATTTTTTTTTTATTTGATATGTTATATATGACCATAACAAAAGAAAAAAAAAAGTCTTATTTAGTAATTATACAATTCATAAGAAAACAACTCATATTAGTTAAAGTTTGGTAAAAATTAGGCGGGTTGGACTATGACAAAATTTTAGCACATCATGACCAAATCCATTCTGGCCCAAGTAACTTCTAGGCTTTGACCCTCCCAAAATCGGTCTCACCTGCCCATTTAACACCCGTACCTGCAAAATAGCATTTTTACGGACCTGATAGGGTAAATTTAGTTAAATAGCATGAGCTAGCCAATTTTCGGACTAGTCATTCAAAAATAGCTAGTGTTTGTCAAGTCAGTGAAAAATAGCCACTATTTTGCTGCAACAGAGACCGGTCCAGCATAATATACTGAAGTTCGGTGCACATGTGCATGAATTTCTAGCATATTATGCTGGACCGGCATACTTTGCTGGCTCCAGTATAATATACTAGAATTTCAGTATATTATGCTGGAGTATTTTCCGAATTTGAACAGTGTTTTCGTTCAGATTTATCTTTACATGAAAAGTGGCTAAATTTGGATGACTTTTGAAACTGTGGCTATTTTTGAATGACCACTTATAAATCTGGCTATTTTTGAATTTCTCCCGTAAATTTAACAAGTTGATCCATATTTTTCAGGTACAAAAACATTTACAACAGAGAATTGAAGCTCAAGGAAAGTATTTACAATCAGTTTTGATGAAAGCACAGGAAACACTTGCAAGATATGGTTCTTCTGATGAACTTGCCAAAGCTGAACTCTCTCAATCCGTTTCGATGCTTAACAAATGTTGTCCAAGTTCTTCACTGTCAGCAATAACTAAAATCGATGGCTCAATCTTAAAAGATACAGACAGAAATTCTCCAAGTTCTTCAATGTCAACATTAACTAAAATTGATGATTCAATCACAAAAGAGGTAGGCACATGGAAGAGAAATTCTAGTATTCTGTCACTGATGGATATGAATCCAGGGAATGGAAGTGGCTCGAACGCTGAAGCAAAAATAAATAAGAGGAGCAGAACCAATATTTGGACTGAACAACCATCTGGAAAAATACGTGACACTCAGAGAACTAATGAGCAGTTCGCATCTGGTCCAGAAGTAATAGACTTTATTAGCAGATGCTTCTAAGCTTATGATTTGCCATAAAATTACTGATTACTACAACTAGTACGTTGTTTTATAGAGTGGGGGAATAAAGTAGTCTAATTGTAGCGATTGGTGTGTATGGACTAAACGTTTATGCGACGGACAATATTGTTAAAAGTTTCCTCAGTAGTAACAGTAGCAAAAATAGAATTGTTCCTTCTTATGTTAGTTAATATTACCGTATTCATCTTGCACATTCTCATTTCTTTGGATTCCTAGTTGAGAGTGAGACAAATCAACTTTTACTTACCTTAAACATGTAATTTCATATACATATTTTCCATTAATAATAATGTTTTTGATGTTGACTACGTGTTTAGCTATTCTTGCATTCAAACATGAGCATGTGCTTTCGTATACCATGTCAATGAGGATATACTATAGAAGTTCTTTCAGTTTCATACACAACAATATACATAGATTTGTCATTAACTTAGACTTACAAGCTCATAAATTAAGGACAACTAGTCCTGAACTTACAATAACAAGCTCATAAGTTAAGGACACTTGGTCCTGAACTTAGAGTTGGAAGTTCAAAAGTTAAGGACACTTGGTCCTTAACTTAGAGCTACAAGCACAGAAATTAAGGACAGGTAGTCCTTAACTTAGAGTTACAAGCACAGAAATTAAGGACAGGTAGTCCTGAATTTCGAGTTCCAAGTTCAAAAGTTAAGGACATGTAGTGTTGAATTTAGAGTTACAAGTTCAAAAGTTAAGGACAAGTAGTTCTAAACTTAGACTTACAAGCTCAAAATTAAGGACAGCTAGTCCTGAACTTACAGTAACAAGCTCATAAGTTAAGGACACTTGGTCCTGAACTTTATGATCAGAAGGGTATTATCGTCCGGGCGGGTACAATTTATTAAAGTTGTGGCTAAAGACTAAAGACATTTTAAACAGTGGCTAGAGGCAAGTGTGATTGTTACTCTGTTTATTAGCTAGCAAGCTAAGATTCCCCTTTTCTTCTTGTTGATATGGATGTTTGGGACTGTTTGATCAAAAAGTGTTAAGCTTTTTATTAAACTAATTAATGAGGAAATGGGGAGTGAATCCTAGTTAGATATAATAAATTCTAGATAAAAGATTTAAACAAATCCGTGGGATGAAATCGTGTTCGAGAATAATAAATATCAAGTACGTGTTCAATGATTGTCAATGAATGTTATAATAAGAACATGCAATAAATGTAGATAATGGCAATAAATGTAATAAAGATGAATTTATCACCTAAATGTTAGATGACTTGGGTGATTCTTTTTCCTGACAGCAACGAGGGATAATGGTAAATGAGGATGGATGAGGAATCCTTGGATCTTGTAAACAAAGAGTGAACAACGTGTGTTGAGCAATAGAATCAGTGAACAAGACAAGCCTTTTGTATATTCTTTATAGTCAACTCTTTACAAGTGCTCTTATCAAAAAGTGAAGATCCCCTTTTTATTTTTTATCTCTTCCTATTTATAAGGGATATCCCCAAGAAAGCCTAAAAAGTATGAGATAAAGAATATCCAATGGAATATTCCTTATGTCTATTGCTAAACCATCCTACCATTGCTTCCTTCCCCCCTTTACTTGACCTCGGCAATAATCCTTTTTAAGATGACTCCTCGCCATTGTGCCGTGGTTGGCTCTATCCTCGACCATGTTTATTTGCAGTTATCAAGCCGCCCAAATTTAGACCAATACAGTTAATCCCTCCGCTTGTTGAGGTCGTGATCTTGCACGTCCTCGATGAGCGGATCCGGTCTGCAATTGTTGAGAAGAAATTTTATCGTGTTGATTGAATCGAATCGGCCGAGGTCGAAAAAACAGCATGGCCAGCGGGGCTGCGGTTGGCGTGGCTAACGTAGGGTAACGTCATGACCACACGCGTCATCGTTGCGCGTCTTCCCCATGCAGTGTCTGTGCTTCTATCGCTTCAATTTTGGTGCCATTGACGGTACTTTGCTTCGGTTCTAGTGTCACCCAACCCTATAAATAGATTGGGGGGGGGGGTTCATTTTCGAAAATTTTCAACATTTCTCATTTCGCATGTGTATTGTTTCCTTTGATCTTCTTCTCTGATCTCCAATCTCCGCTTTTAATCTCTTGCAACTTCTTCGATTCCAGTCCCTGACTTCTTACCTAGTTGATATCTTCTTCTTCAGACTTTGTTGCATTCATTTTACTACGAAAATATGTCAACATCCCCTCATATTCATGACGAAGTTTCTGATGCTATTCCTTTATCGGTGGCCCTTCCTCCCGGCGGTGAGGAATTCATGGTTGAAGAGGAGGAAAGCTTCCCCACCGTAGAGGAGGTGGTCCCTAAGAACCCTTTGGTTAGACATGATTTCCCAAAGGAACCCGCTCCCGCTCCTTCTCAGAAACTTTCTGAGATGGAACCGCCTCAAATAGCTGACCTCCGGTCTAAATATTGCATTCCTCCTCACGTCGAAATTGTTCCGGCCAGGGGCAACATCGTAGAGGTCCACCAACCCGGATATTATGCTTTCTACGTCTATCCGGTCTTGATCGGTTATTCTCTTCCTCTCCCCCCATTAGCGGAGGAATTTTGCTGATTTTACAACGTCTACCCGGCAAAACTCTCCCCTTATTTGTATAAAGTTTTTCTGATGCTGGTGAAGTATGAAGAGTTGGCCGGTTGTGAGGTCAACATTTGCCACTTGCTGCATCTATTTTTGCCCAGCTTTTATAGAGGTACATTGATACACCTGCGGCATCGTGGGATCAAAGGGTTGGTGGTCGGGATGGATGATAAGACGAACCAGCGGTTCTGGCATAAGTACTTCTTCATCAAGACCGAGCACCTGGTGGCGAACCTGGCTGAGTTTCCCGAGCAATGGAACTATAATCGTAAGTATCTTGCTGTATGCACGTTATTTTCATTTATTCTTTCATTTTGGACTCACTCGCGGCTTCCTTATTTTTACTGAGACGGTCGCCTTCTCCCGTCTTTGATATTGAAGATTGGGTGGTTCACGTGTTACCCACACCATGGGAATTCGCAATGGGAAGCGTTTTGGACCCAAGACCCCATCAAGTAAGTGTTATTCCTACCTCAACTTATTGCCGTTCACTATCGCTTTTTGATGCAACCTCCCTTTGGTGCCAGGTCGGCGAGTTTCCAAAACGACGAAGGCTCCAGTTCCTACATTTCGCCAAGCTATCGCGTCAGTCGAAATACAGTTTGCCTTAGCTGAATCTGCTCGAGGAGGTCGGACTCAAGTTCCGGCAATGAGGGACTCCGCCCCTCAAACTGTTTCCGTGCGGTATGAGATCTCTTCTCAGCCTATTTTTACCTCGTAGACAAGCCATCTAATGGCGAAGAGACATCGTTGAGGAAAAGAGGAAGGGTGGAGACCGGGAAGGCCATTGTCGGTGATGTTGAGCCGGAAAGATTCATTGCTTTGGAAGCGGAATCCGTGCTTACACCAGATGTTGAGATCGTTCCTACAATGGGTGTCGTCATGGAGAGAAGACCCTCTTGGGTTGAGGGGGCCGTGGTAGCGGAGAGCTTATACGGGCCGCAGAAGGTGACTCATCATCGGTGGCCGGGGGAAATAGAGATGTCCCTGCGGGGGACGACGACTCTGGCTAGGACATCGACCCTGAGGAGATACGAACCTTTATGGAGAGGACTACCGGTGTGGAGGTAAGGACGGAGGGTCCTAATCGGCATATAGTCATTCCCGTGGACTATGACCTCTTGGCCAACTCAGAACGGGCGGTGTCGGCCTTTTCTCCCCTGTGCGCGACTTTCGAGAATACGACGCTACAGGCGATGAGAGATGAGGACCTGTCGTTGGGTATATCCGGCATGGACCTGCTAGTGAGTGTTTTTCCCTGTTAGGTCAAGTTTGTTTCGCATGTGTAATATGCTTATACTGACTTTTTTTTTTGCATCAGACTCTTATCATGGGTATTGAGCGTGACCGGTGGAGGAGCGGAGGATGACCATTTTTAAGAAAATGACCTCCAAGTACAAGGAGTAGCGTACTAAGCGCCGAACGCTGGCCGACTTCCTCAACCAGGATGGCGAGTTTCAGTCGCTTCGTGATGGGCTCAAACAGAAAGACGACGAGCTGACGAAGAAAGATGAAGAGCTAAGGGAGAGGGACGATGAGCTTATGAGGGCCATCAGTAGGTGCAACGAGCTTGAGGCAACACTAAAGGCAAAGAGGACGAGCTTGAGGTGAGTAAGGGGGTGATGGCTGAGAACACTGATCTTCAGACGCAGGTGGTGTCCTTAACGGCTGAACTCAGGCAGAGGGAAGCAAAGGATGTTGATCTGAGGGGCGATCTGAGTGCCAAGATCGAAGAATTGAGTAGGGCCGAGAAAGCCAGAATGACCGCTATGGCTGAAGCGGCGGCCCTAGATGACGCCTTCGTGTTTGTAGGTTCGAGCGGGCTAACAAGGTGGAGACGTCAACGCTTAAGGTGGCGAGGTTGGAAGAACGGATCCAGGGTTTAGAGGCGGAGTTGTCCGGGTTAAACGAGCAAGTCGTTATCTTGAGGGACGAGGAGACGCAACGGTAGTCACAGCCGTCTACATCTCATACTTCTGCCGATCTCGTTGTGCCGCGGGAGTTGTATGAGATGTGGGTCCATGCCGAGGCTCAACTTGATGTGTACAAATCTTTGAAGACTGCCGGGAACGTTTCCGAAGCGTAGCTTAAGGGCGTCCGTGTCAAGGCACGTGCAGCCCGTAAAGCATGTGGTTACGACCCTGGTACACCTGGCGGGGATGAGGGTGATGACACCGCGGATAGGCTTGCCTCTGATCACTAGTATGATGATGAGTACGCCGATGGGGATGACGTGAAGCTGTTGTACTTAGTTTTTTTTTTTTTGCTTTGCTATTTTTGTGAGGGCGTCCTCGATCCCTTTGTAAAAAGTATTGTGATCCGATAATTGAAATGGAACAATTGTCTATTTGCTATGTATTTCTGGAGTCCCGTTCTCTTTTCTCTTTTTTCTCTTCTTTTTTTTGCTATGTGGAGAAGTCCTTGATATTTCGGCCGTTTGTATATGGTTGATATTGGTTGAGCCGAACATAGACCGACATGAGTCCGAGTATTGATTAGTTAGAATGAGATCGAGGTTTGATGAGGTTGAAAATCAAATAATTCGAG